TAGCCGCTGCCGCCCTGACTGAGCTGCTGAAGCAAGGTTCAGCATCAGGGGGGGTTGTAGAGCAGCGGTGTCTGCTGACCTGCTCCTTGCTGGCCCTTCAGGGAAACTACAGCGCAGTGCAAAGAGAGGCCTCCAGAGCTGTGCACAGGTATGCTGCTTGGAACTACTGAAACAGAATAGTTTTGATTTTAAAGAACTGAGCAAATATTAAGATTGTATCGTTAGTTTTAAAATGAACAAACAATATCCTGTCATTGACTGCAGATTATTAACTATAGCATAACAAGGTCCATTAGAAGCATGGATGCAGGACTTTTTTTGCCCACGTGTCTGAGCTTTATTGAATTTCTTTCTGCTTTGTTCAGTAATCCTGGGAATGCATCCCTGTGGGCTCTTTTGTCCAGAGTAATACCGCAGTACTACCCTAGAAAGGCCCGGGTAAGTGTTTTTATTCCAGAAATGCTTCTAGATCCACAGCCACGTTAATATTCCATGACAGTCACTGTTTTTTCTCGCATGATTTTGGGTCCTTTATGTTACAGGGAGGTGCAGTGGCAGGTCACATTGCCTGCCTCTTTAGTATGACTCAAGGAAAGGTAAAAGTCTGATAATATATTTTCTTCTGTTACTGAGCATATGCACCTTTTTAACGTTTTTACGTTTGACATTTTTCAACACAGTGATTTTGTTTGTGTGCCTACAGAGGGCGCTGTTGTACAGTGGAGTAAACCAAGTGGCTTATGGGAAACATACTGGAGAGGATCCTCACAGAAATGCATTTAAGACTCTGCAGAAAGCTGTTGTGCTCTGTCCTGGTACACAAACACACAAACCTTCTGAAATAGCTTGAATATAAACGATTTACTCGATAATCAAAACCATCTACTGAAAAGAGTATATTCATATATTATTATTTCATGTCTTTTTTTATCTGTATTAATAATTATTCCTTCATATCACAGAAAGACATTAATGGATTTTAATTTCCCAATTAAATCTTCCCTGTAACTTCTGTCTGTGCCGCTCCATGAAGTGGGCATGTTTGATATGCTGAAGGTTTATTCTTTTATCTTTAGATGATCCAGCAACATGGGCGGGATTAATGGCAGCCTGTCACACTGAAAACACCGCCTGTTATCTTTCTGGCTCTCCTCCTCACAGACAGTCACTGGAACACACTTTAATGTCTGTGGTTTCTGAGAAAGGTGTCAGCATTGGTCTCTTTTAACCACACAGCTTTCTTTATTTGTGTTTCATATGTAAGGCTGACCTATTTCTGTTTTCTAGTGCATAACGTAGAGGAGATGGAGCGCCCTTTGGCTCAGGCTCTGGAAGGCTGGGTGCTACAGCAGGCTGTGTTAGGTCTAAGGCAACAAGGGCAGCTGGAGCAGGCAGAGGCTCTCTGTATGCAGGTAGAATATAAACTGCCCCTTTTTTATTCACATCCAATTAAAATGTTCACTGTGAATAACGGGAAATGATGCAATAAACCTGCAGTAGTTATCACCTGCCTTATTTCCTTCTTAATTGCAGGTCCTCAGTGTGTCACCAGAGCACCCAGCGGTGCTGCTGTCACTGACGCAGGTTCAGTGTCAGCGCCTCCTCCTGACCGAAGGCGGTACTGTTCTTCCAGAACAGGTCCTGGAACAGCTAAACAAAGCAGTTCTGATGAACCCTACAAACCTTGGAGCATGGCATGTATGGCACCTTAATTTCTTAAAAAAAACATTTTTTTAAAGCTTTTAAATTTAGTGCTTTAGTAAACATAGTAAACAAACTCCTCTTCTCTCTGATTAAAAAAAAAAAAAAGTTGATGCATCAGTTAATTTTCAATAGCCCATTTCTGTTCTTTGGTTATTTTGGTTATTATGAGGTCATAATTACATTTTTGGATGCAGCTGGTTCAGATTGCACCTTTAGAACTCAGACAGAAAGGTAAACGCCTATTGCAAAAAGCTAAATCAACATCCTTAAATGACTTTCAAAACCTTCAGAAGAAAAACACAGTAGATTAAAACAAAACACCATTTTAACTATTAGAAGAAGAAAGTGGCTCCATTTTTTAGAATATGTAAACACCCTTGAAAAGAAAATATTTACATAGAAATGTAGCATGTAGCCTTTCTGTTATCTGCTTTAAGTTTAACTCTCTCTTGGTCTCTTATAGCCAGAATGAATGCCTGACAAATGGTAGAAAACATGCTTTGCTTTTAATTGTCTTTTTTAATCAGTTTTGTTTCCTCTCATTTCACAGTTATACTCAGTGATACTTAAAACAACTAATGTTAGACGCAGCTTCCAGCTGTAGAGCGTTGCTGTCAGCATGCATGGTAGTGCTTACTATCTCATAAACACATTAGATTTATTTTTATATATTGCGAGCTGTTTTTTAGGGAGACAGACAAGCAACAAACTCACGACGTTGCAGTTTATTGCTGAATTATAAGTTGCATATTTATGCAGTAATATTTTTGCCCCATTTTCTAAAATGAGGCAGCAATGGATCTCCAATTTTAATCTTTAAAATTGGGGTTTGTCCATTTTCAAATTAACAATTTAGTCTCCTTCTCCCATCCCAGTGGCTGGCTGAGGTGTATCGTAACCAGGGTCTGCTAGTCCAGGCCGTCATGGCATATAGACAGAGTCTGCAGCTTGCCCTGCAGCTGGGGGCACATAGCTTCCAGGTGGCTAGTCTGCTCCGACTGGCTCTGTTAGCCCTTGGACCGTGCATGGTGAGTCTATGAGCACAGATTTATATCATTAATGTTTCTATTTTTTGAGAGACAAAATGCATCTAAATAAGGAAAGTCTACAGCTGGAATGATCATAAACGACATTGTTTAACATTATATATAATGGATAAAAGATAGAAATTACTCTCATTATGTCAGAGGGGAAACTTTTTGAAGTGTGGATAAAAACAGGGATTGTAAATATAACTTAGGATGAGCAGCCAAACCAGCTGTCTTTTGATTGTTTTTTAATTTGATATTTATTTCAGTCAGTATAAAGATTGTTGAAAAAAAAAAAAAAAATATATATATATATATATATATTGTTGAAAAATATATATATATATATATATCATCCTAATAAAGATAATAAAACATGTCTTTATCAATATTGCCTACTCTCAATCCTATATTATTCCTTCTTTTATTATTGACAGTAATGTCAGTATTTTAAATGCAATTAAAAAATTGACAGAAATATTTTTGGCATGGAAACATAATGGGGGTTTGTTTCTCAGGCTGGAGTCCCTGGAAATGACTGGAAGGATCTTGTGATGGAAGCCACTACAGAGGTTCTGAAGCTGGGCTCTTCTCCCATGGCCCTCCTCTTCCAGGCTTTGCTCCAATATGTGAACAAGATGACTGCAAGGTCAGCGCTGGTCTCTGGGTAGTTTACACTGAAATAGAAACTATATTAGAGCTAATATGCATAATATAGATTCACTGAATCTTTCATAAAGAGATAATTGTTTAATATCTGCGTGTAATTTACAATCTGAATTAATGATAGTTATATTCCTAAAGTTTTAGATTTATGCAGCTATCTGTTTTGTTTTTATATTGGTTAGCAGTAAATAAGCTAAACCTCTTCCGCTTTGACATAAAAATGTTGTCTAGCTACCTCTAAAGTGTTTCAGATAGGTGGTTGCAGTTATCACTGAGCTGAGGAGTCAATAGAAGTCCTGCTGGTTAAAATAAAGTTGCTTCACCAACTTTCACATAGCACTTACTGCCTTTTTAGTGCTGAAAAGATGTTTGTTACACTTAAATCCAAACACCAGTCACAGATTATCTGCTTCAGAATCTGGAAGACTTCCGATTATTGGTGGTTATATATCTTCAACTTTATAGGAGAGTATTTGGAAAAGAGTGTCTACCTTCAAGGTGTGATATAAGCATAAAAGCACTTCTGTTATACAGCAGAACATTAACCTAAGGCATCCAACAAGTTAACCTCTGAACAACTAATAAACATAAAATGGAGGCTTTGGGAGGGGCATTGCCACATCCCTGTGATAAAAACAGTTATTAGGAGCCATTTTGTTCCTTCCACACAGGACCAGTTGGTTAGGATGCTACCCCCGTTATAAATACAATAAAAAATCACACAAATGTCCAGTAAAATGTGTCTAGACTTCGTTTATAATGTTATAGAATGTGGAAAAGGATGACCAAACCAGTTTCCACAGAAAAGCCCAGTTATTTTACCGTACCTCACCACTGTTTATCCTGTCCTCATTGTATTCTTTCCTTTGCAGAGAAACAAGGCGTTTGCTGGAGAGACTCGTCTATGTTTCCTCTGATGACACCCCAGTGACAGTGGTGCAGGTTGCCAGTTGGTACCTTCTCAGACTCTTGCATGCCAAAAATGACCAGGAACTCATCAATGTAAGTAAACGACCACCTCGTCCATACGGTGCCACCTTACTACTGTATTTAATGTATATCCGAGCTGTGATGGTAAGCATTTTTGTCTTTTTGCAGGTTCTTTTGCAGCATGCTAAAACGACTGGTAATCAAAGACTGCTGGAGCTTCACTCACAGCTGACGTCTTCCTCATCCTGAATGTTGCGTCAGCGTCGTTTTGCATGTGTTGGAATAAGCAGATTACCAGACTGCTATACAACCACAGACAATTCAGCTTCTCTCCATGTTTCTCCATGATGCTACAGAAAATATGAATGTAAGGCATCACAGGGCATATCTTAATAATCAGTTTTATTTTATCATGTCATTTTTATTTCATTTTATTTTTCTTTTCATTCTAAATATTAAATCAGTTTTTCTTTTATTATATCATGAAAATATTTCCAAACATTAACATCTACATCCAGCACTAAATAAAGACATTTTGCCCATCAGAGATTGTCGTTTATTTGTTCTACAAGACACTTAATGTGTGATTCTGTGAAATGACTTTTAGCACATCGTATTACAGTTTGTTGTGGAAGACAGGGAAGAAACAGAGCTGCTTTCCAAGTATGATTACAGCCAGAAAGAAGCAGTTAGAGCTTTGGTTTTTCAAATGAATCGGGCCCAATGTTACAGCACATTTTAAACCCTCACTGAACAGAAATGTTTGGTCATGAGTGTGCAAATGTTCTGCCCACATCCCCAGCACATTTGCTTGACATGTGGAGAACCCTGTTGTACCTTCCTGTTGCACAGTGAACAATCAGCCACAGCAGCTTCGACATTGGGGTTTCTAAGATTATTGGCTAGAAGCTGTTTAAGGTTTTCCAGCTCTGCGTTCGGAGCCTTAGTAATGTCCACAACCTTTATTCTACTTGGGTCAAAGACGCAGTCCTCCTCTAGGCCGCTGGGCACTGCTTTCATGCCACAGTTGGGGGGTACCCACGCGGTATCGTAGCCTTGCGCGCTCCAGGTGTACTGCATCGGATGGTTGTCTTTGTCGATGCGTTTTACGCGCCCAACTCGTACGTGCAGCTTGAGTACCACTCGATCTGAAGCGTTAATGTTCAGAGGATAGCGTTCCGCCTTCTTCCTGTCACGACTTACATACACACCCTTTCCCAGCATGCCCTTCTGGGACTGCTGAAAGCCATTGGTAATGATGAGATGTGCGTTGGCAGCCGTGGTGCCATGGTACATAGTGTAGACGCTCCGATCTTTGGGCTCTTGGGAGGCCCCCAGCTCCAGACAGGAGTCATCATCATAGGTCACCTCCCAGCCAAAGTACTGCAGTGACATCCTGCTTCAGTTACAGGGTGATAGTCAGGCTGTGAAGGAAATAACTATCATTAATTTGGGAAAGTTGACTAAACTGTTTGTGATTAACCTAAGAAAACATTTTAAATCTGCATCATTGTTGTTTTGATACATAAGGATGTAAGGAAACAACCCTCCAGGCCCCTTTTCCTCTTGGTTATAGTGGATATGCCTGATTGCTATATTTTATATCCAAACATTTTATATTACCTTATTTAAATTCAGCTTTACAATATGATTTGGAATGAACCTATATATTTCCGGATGAACAACGACAACAAACAATGCATGCCTCGAAAAAGTAATATTCCTTTTATTATACTTAAAAAAGGAAATCCCTTCTTTAAAAAGAGAGTCATGATTTAAAAGCAGACCCTGTAAGGACGTGAGACGTAAGAAAATCTCAACTGGTAGGTGAACATATCTTCAAACGGTTGAAAAGAAAAAATAACCATAGCCAAATCACAATAATTTATCTCGGCAGTGAAAAGAGATTTATAGTTAGTGGTTTAAAGAAAAGTCAACTTTCAGCTTACAGTCTGTCGTAATAATTCAACTCTATACGTCCTTTAACTCCAAAACTTACCGTCGTTGAGAAGTCGTCGGTTCTGAAGGGTGGATATTTGCTTTCTGTTTTGTATTTCGCCAAAGTTTCGATTATCAATCAACAGAATGGACGTCTCCTGTGTGTTTATAGATCTGCATCTCCCTTGCTGCGCATGTGGCCGGTTAGCTCAGTTGGTTAGAGCGTGGTGCTAATAACGCCAAGGTCGCGGGTTCGATCCCCGTACGGGCCATCCGTTTTTGGTAAGCGTTAGACTTATGGTCCTATGCAGTAAGTGTTGGTTGTTTTTTTAACCCTTCCATGCATGAATTATGATAAACTCAGTGAGAATGTGTTTTGAAACACCCTTAGCAATGTAAAATAAGTTTTGAAAAAAAAATGTTTTATTTTTACTCTATAAAGAAATATTTATCTGCCCACTCAAGTGGGCACTATGTACTCTATGCATTTATACTATAAAAATTATTATTATTATTTTGTTGGAATGGTGGTTCCTCTACTCGCCTGTAGAAACAGGTGTTTGGTCTTTTCTATCTATCTTGATATCTGCCTTTTTTTTTCTTTTTTTTTTCCATTGCATTGATCAACAAATCGGATTTTTCTGTATGGGATGATGCAATAGCTTCCACTAGATTTGACTTTAAGCATAAATGCCCAAAGTTGAAGTTGTAGAAAGAAGCACTTTCAAAAAACTACTTTGTAGTGATCACCTTGCACAGATTTTCAGGAGAAACATCACTTTAAACATTACTTTATTTTGTTTATTTCACAATAATATAGAACTTGGAGCAATTCACTTTTTCTCAGAGAAAAGAAGAGTGAAGATCACCAGAAACAAGAAAAAATACAAATGTATGAATGAGAGCCTTGCACATGCAAAAAGTGAAACAGAAAGGAGCAGAAGTGGCCAAAGTGCAGATATAAGATTTTCATTTGAGACAGGCTTAGATATGAACAGAACAGAGATTTTATCAAGTTCAAGCAGATAATTTCACAAAAAACTGATTTTTTTATTTATTTATTTTTGGCCTGCATTATAATCATTAAGGATTGCATCATTCAACTCTATGTTTTTATTCCTTCCACAGCTTCTGTCAAGGTTTCCTCTGACAAAAGTGTTTGGATGTGAGAATGCAGATGTTTAGGCCACACTTCCAGCACTTCTGCCTAATATGAGGAGCTCCTTGTTGGGTCTTCCTCTTGCACAGGGGACAAGCATCTTTCCCATCACCAGCTCGCCCCTTGTCCTTTTTAGATACTTTATCCAGAAGCTCCTTAAGCTCCTTTTCTATCGCAGCGTTTGGCGCTCTAGCGATTCCCACGACCTTCACCCTTTTAGGGTCAAACACGCAGTCTTCCTCCAGGCCGCTGGGCACAGATTTCATGCCGCAGTTTGGGGGGACCCAAGCGGTGTTGTAGCCTTGGGAGCTCCAGGTGAACTGCAGTGGATGGTTGTCCTTGTCTATACGCTTCACACGTCCTACACGAACACGCAGCTCGAAAATCACACGGTCATTAGGGTTACTTCCTAGAGGATAGTTAGCGGCCTTCTTCACATCCCTGCTTACGTACACACCCTTTCCCAGCATGCCACTGGACGACTGCTGAAATCCACCGGTGATGATGGCCCGCGCGCTGGTGATGCTGGTTCCATGGAACATGGTGTAGACTCCTTTGTTTTGAGGCTTTTGTGCTGGAGTCAACAACACACCAGGGAAACAGGCTCCATCATCCACCACCTCCCAGCCAGAGAACTTGATTGACATCCTGACCTGTTTTAACCAATAAGCAATAAGTAAAAGTAAGATTCTTCAATCTGGGTTGATGTATTTTTTTTTACCTTACATTATAATATAAAGCTTAAATTGCTTTAAAGAGGATATATTGTTGGAAAGCTAAACCTGTTTTATTTGTAAAGGCCCTCATACATAATGTTACCATGGCCTGAAATAATACCTCACAAATGCGATCAGATTTTTTCATTTGGTGAGTTAATGCCACCATTCACCAAAAGGAAAGTAAATGTTTGGACAGCAGTTGCACTTTAGTCACGTCCTTTCATCTTTTATTTTGGCAAGTCACCCCCTCTGTTGCTTTGTTCCTTTGCTGTATGTTCATCACCACCAACACCTGGTCATTTAACCTTTTATAGGGAAAGTTACTGTTATTGATCACTTGCATACCCCCTTATAAATGAAGTCCCCGGCCATCCCGAAGTGAGGTCTAGAAGCACAAGATCTATATCCAATCATTCAGCAAGGATACTGCTGCACATCTTATTTGACCAATTAGGTGAGCCCTTGAATGATATATTACCTAATGTAAATTACGCTGAAATAATAGTTAACAAGTCAAGAAAAAAAGGTAAAAAGCTAATTGAAAAGTTAAAAAGTAAAATTAAAAAGTTTAAAGCCTAGTTAACGATTATATTTAGGTTTATAAACCAAAAAATGTAAGTGACAGTATCAGCATTAATGCCTCTAAGGCAGAGGTCTTCAACAGGGGGTCTGCGACCCCTAGGGGGTGCACAGAGGTACTGCAAGGGGGTCGCAAAACTTTGGTTGCTTACTTTACACTTTTTTGAATGAAATTCATAATAACAACTTTATTTAATGAAACTACATTAGCTTTCACTGTAACGTTGTTTGCCGATAAAAATATGATTGGCCGTCCGTCTACTTGGAGTTATTATCGGACTAAAATTGAAAAATAAGAAAGCCTGTTTCAGGCAGCAAATATAACACTTAAATACCTCTGTAGTTGCTTTTTCTGGACAGGCCTTTCACACAATAACAGGAACTATTTCTGCGCTATTGATAAAATAAAACAAACTTTTTTTTAGCCAGTCTAAATAGAAATCTGTTTAATTATCTAAGCCCAATCAGTAAAAGCTCCGCGCGATTAAGGATTAACATTCTTTTGCAGTATAAAAACAACCTTATGGAATAAGAGGTTTTTAAAAGTGAACCTACCGTGATAAGTCGCTGTCTGCCAACCTGTCATCTAGTTTTTGTTTCGTTACTTTCGATTTCCCCGAAGCTGAACCTGACCACAGTACTCAAACAAAGCTTCTGGCTAAGAGTAGGCGGGTCTTATAATGGCAAATATACATGTGTGCTGCATGCTTATAGACCGAATATATTTTTGCATTTATAATAAAGAAAGACTTTTCCCCTCCACCCTTTGTAGGCCCACCAATCGCTATATATGTGAGTTTCTTGATCTGCGGTCTTTTTACGGTGTAGCCGAAATAGCTCAGTTGGGAGAGCGTTAGACTGAAGATCTAAAGGTCCCTGGTTCGATCCCGGGTTTCGGCAAGCATTCTTTTTTTTCCACTCTGATAACATTTGCCTGGAATTGAATTCTAATGTATTAGATTATAAAGCTTAAGCTATTATTATTTTCAATAAGATCAGGCCTAGTTACCAACTCAGGCCTGATCTGTGTTTTTGGATCTCATTCTTTATTTTCTGCATTGAAATCAGATGGGAGTTATGTTGATTAGTAAATTAACCAAAGCACCTTCTATTTCCAAGCCTTTTTGATGTTGTCTGCTTGTGCTTCATGGCTCTTCGTATTCTTATGACTTCTCTCTTGACTTTATCTGATAAGCACCTTATTTAACACACACGTGAGGCAAACCAGCTCTAAAGATGATCAAAGTCAGCTTTGCAGCCTTATCTTCAGGGCTGTCTTTGGTACAGCTTTTACAAAATGATCACTTATTTTTTTTTCTTTGTAGTTAATAAATGAAAATGTTGAATTATTGAAAAATTTTTATACTAATTTATTTTCTGATGTTCTGTTATTTAAAGACTGTTTATGCTTCCTGGATAATTGTAATATACGGTATACAGTATATAATATAAGTATTTTTATTTAAAATAAGTATCTTTTTGTATTCACAAAATGGCCAAGAAACAGAGATAGTTAGATTTAATCACTTCCTGATTTCCCCAAAGCTCTCTTTCAGCTGTTTTTCCTATATGTTGGATCCAGTTGACATATTGCTTGCATGTGTTTGTGCAGTAGTGACAGAAAGTTACCAGCAGTGATCATCCACCATTGTGGTATGCCTGTTTGATCAGCTGCAGTTCCAGTGTATTTCAATGGGCCTGGATCATCTCTGTCTCTAACTTCCTTATAGCTTCCTGCAGAAAACCAAATTCAGCCAATCAGGGATTCAACATAGAATAAAAAAAAAATAAAAGTGTGGAGTCTTTTCTCAAAATGTGCAGGGTTTAATATTTTAAAATAACATAATTCTTTTTCATTTTCATCTTTGTCAGCCTAAGTGACCGATGTAGCATCCCTATGGTCAGTCAGAGAAGGGAGTAATGGCAGTGACCTACTTTTTCTGCATTTTCATTTGTTTTATGGCAAATGCGTGACCATTGGTCAAGAGTTAATGTGCTGCCATCACAGTGATGTACCAGCCTTCGGAGTGAAATGAGCATTGACTGAATCATTGTCGGCGTTTGTGAGGAAGTCTGCTGCTCCTGCCTTTAGATTTATTAAAGTGGCTGCAAGCTTTAGGACATGATGCACATTTTACATCTTAATCCTAGATTTAACCATTTTCTAGTATTGGTCTCCAATTAAAAAAAAAAAAAAAGCATTGTCCAAAAGCTTTTAGGATGACTTTGCATCATATTTGCTTGCATTTATATGGACTCTGTCATACCTGATAGCACATTATCTTCAGGAGGATTTAAAAGGAAACAGGTCAATGAAATGTATTTCAGTGAAAACACTGAAATAAAGCAAACAAAAAAAAAACAAAAAACAAAAAAAAAAATTGCATGGCGTATCAAACAAATTCAGTAGTGGTTAATTCAGTTGTTGGGTTGAGGAAAACTAGCACTGTACATTAAACTAAATACATTGACTCTACACAAGTACACAGTGATGGCACCATGTTTCTGCGGGAAGTTTTCTTCAGCAGTGACCAAAGTCGATTGGAAGATAAATGAAGGACAGTACTATAAGACAACCCTCTGCTAAGCAATGGGTTGGTTTGGACTGTGGATTGTGTGGGGTTGGAGAAAGGTCACATTATTATGGCTAATGTATGACTCATTGAACAGCCACTCAAAAAGAGGCTTGAGGGCTGTACTTAGGCAAAGTATTGCTCCAAGCTAGGTGTCAGCAAGCCTTTGTATCTGTAGTAATAAGCTGGTGAGATGATGTTAATAAGATCAAGACATTAAATAAAGATTTGCAACATACCTGGATGAAATGAAGCTAATATAGATATGTGTCATTTATGCCCTGGAGGCCTTGAAGTATCCATAATTATCTTATCTAAAAAATGAAATAAAAAAAACAAAACAACTGCATTACAGTCAAGTGTAAAATCGCAGTGATGCTCTGGTGTGGACCAAAGTGACATACACAGCTGTTTCAAGGGCAGCATGGCTGGTGTTAGGTCATAGCAGCCAGATGGTGCTGAAAACATACAAACAACAAAATACAGACAAAGAGACATGTTGAAGGATATACAGTTTTACTCATGTCTACTCCGGCCATTGTTTTTATCACTGGTGCTTTTCATCAGATCCACACAATTCAGCATAGATTTTTTCTTATTTTATTTTTAATTTTCAGTTGTGCAATTTTTTCTTGGAATGTAATCATCTACTGCTCCCGGTGAAGAAAGCCAGAACAGCTGAGCCTTTTCAGCTGGAGGTTCCTCACTGTAAAAATGGAGGTTTTCCTCTCCACTGTCGCTACAAGCATGCTTAGTGTGAGGGATTGCATTCAAATCAATGAGTCGATGCAATCAACTGGTTTTCCTTAGATAGAAAACTTTGAATCAATTTGACTGTATGATCTGCTGAACTGTAAAGTGCCTTGAGATGACATGTGTTGTGAATTGCTGTTATATAAATAAACTGAATTGAATTGAGCTGGTGGGAGAAAACTAAATCATAGCAGAGGAATGAGAGGGAATGACGCTAAGCGTGAAAGGCAGGGGTTATAACAGAAAGGAAACACAGTTATGGAGCACATGAAAGCCGAGCCACTGCCAGGGAGCAAATAGAAAATAAAATGAATTTTAGTTCGGTTCACTGTAGCTTAATATTGATAATACATTACCAATTCCCAAAGGCTGACTTAACAGAAAGAGCAGAAACAACAAAAGATTTTCAATACTGTTAAGCTCTCTTTTACTCTAATTTGCATCTAAGATATCCAGGAATGAAGTCAAAGTGATAAGCATGAACTGCCTGATCCATTATCAGCAGTAAGTTGAAGCTTCCTTCCTTCCAACACTTGGTTTAATGTAATAATTACTCATGCAATGGCTTTAAGTCTGAATATATCAGATCTCTGTGGGTATTTCAAAGTCTATCTGGTAGAGCTTAATCTTGCAGCTAACAACTGAGATATCTGGTTGTAAATGTTGGCTACTTCTTTGCCCTTTTATAATAGTGTTGCAACGACCGTTGCAGTTTATCCAAAAACCTCTTGCCTCCAGCTCACTCGAATATTAACGGAAAACATCCAAAAGATCATTAAATGAAGTATAATTTCGATTGCTGCCTTTATTGGACCATAAATTAGCTCTTTGTTTAATAAGATTCAGTCTGTTCTCTCAGAACTGAACTCTTTAACCTCTCTGGGATGCAGCCCTGGAGTAAAGGTAGAAATTACACCTTACATGTAGGTAAAAAAAAATAACACTACTAGAGATGATTAATAGAAGCTAGGAAATAAGAGAAAATGAGGAGAGCTCAGGAAATGTTTGATTGTTGTGCATTCTGTATGAGCATTTAACAGATATATCCTAACGTTCACTTAATCTGATGCTTGCAGATCCCATGTGGAGGAGCAGTGGCTCCACTCCAAACTTTTCCGCAGATGACAGAGCTCCTAATTTCTCAGCCACCCTATGAAGGAAGCACATTACAGCTGCTCGTTAGCGGGATCTCATTCCTCCTGTAATGACCTATGTTTTATGAGGCTTTATAAGGCTGAGAACGTGGACAGACTGTAACAAAGAGCTTTGTTTTTCATTTCATTTTCTTTAACAGAAAAAACCAAAGCGGCACCCACACCTGCCATGGTCCAGTTTGATTTGTCCCTCTCCCGCTTCATCGTTCTAAGACACATAGTTCAATTTGTCCTTTTGAGGTAGATACAGCGAGCACTTTCAAAGATGACTCCAACACCATGGTTTATTCATCAATTGCAGTTGGACTTTGAAATAATTCCTCTGAAAGATAAAGAAAGAAAGAATATTAGCACATTATTAAATTATTAACGTTTCATGTCTATGATGTCTTTCAAAGTCAAATTCCTACTTTCAGCACACAATCTTAGCCAGTAAGGCTAATTCTGATTAAAGCCACTCGCTGCACAGATCACTAGCTGTTCTCATTGTTATTTATTTCCTCTTACAGCCCCTGGAGCTGATGAGAAGTGAAGCTGTTTTTTTTCCCAGGCACTGCACCATTCCATCAGGTGTAATCAAATCAGCTGGGAGTTTGTGCTCAAACTCCCAGCTGATTTGATGGGTCTGTGTTCTGCAAATCAAACCGTCAAGGAAATAATGTAAAATGGGTGCTAAATAAAAATGTAAACATCTGTTTTTTTCTTCTTATCTTTCTTTAGAGCACCAGTATTTTTGTCCACACTGTCTATACCTGTAGTTTCATGCATGGCTGCTTGATCACGCATACGTTGACAGGTTGGTTTTTCCTGCAGCAGCTTGAAAGTGACCTGCTGTGGATGGAGACATGCAGAGGCTGCAGACCTGCTGCCATCTCTAATTTTATCTCTCCCAACTAGAAACATAATCAGAAAATAAACAGGATGTGTAGCCTTTATATAGTTTCTGGCTACAAAAATGTGTTGCAAATCAAGACAAATCATCCATTAAAACAAATCCAAGAAGAAAGGTTGTTCCTACGCAGCTAAATTCAGGATAATAATTCATCCACAAGAATAATGAAGATTGAATGAGACGTTGTGCGCTGGTTTTCTTGCTCTCAGGTTGTCTTGGTGTCCCAGCTAGCGCATGTGTCACTGTGCCTCCAGCTACGGTGGATTAAGGTTTAATTTTAGCAATGTGATTTACTGCGCTGTCCACAAGGTTCTCAACCTTATTTCAAGCCCGTCATCCAGGGCAACTGATCTAATTGATAACAGAGATGG